CCATGATGTGGCTTAATTTGATTGCAATCTAAATCCATAACACACTGGTGTGACTCAACTCGGAGGACACTAGGACTGGGTGATAAAACGCTAACGAGAATTATTGCGATATAATTTCCCTTGATAAAACGATAACAAGAGTTTGATAAATGCTTGATACAATGTTTATGCGGCAAAAGCGTAACGAAACAGCACTCGTGTGGGGCGATCATGCGACCACTAAACATCGCTGTGAGATCAGTGAAAACTGCTTGAATTCAGTGAAGAACACAAATGTGTCTGTGATTTAAACAAGTTTAAAGCCAGATAAAACAGCGCTGACAAACAGGAGAAACACTGTGCTAACGATGCAGTCAGAAGGCTTTTCAATCTACAATACACCATTTACCACGGATTTACTGTAGTAACACATGGTACTGTGGCAGAAATGTGGGATATTCATATCGAATTTTAGTGTATTATTAATGTGGACATGTATTAAAGGAGTAATGGAATATAGTTACAGTATTTATTGTGATTAAGCTATAGCATTTTTATACTAAATGTATTTAGGCTACAAATACCATAGAAACCATACAGTTACATTCTACATTGGTAATGAGGTGCTATATGTGCGGTTTTACCTGGTTATCATGATCTAAAATGTAAGCTACTATGGAAGACCAATGGTTAATTTTAATAAAACTCATACAGTCAGAATATTTCAATTTTACCCCCCAAAAAATGTTACGGTTTTGTTAATGACCAAATGTACAGCTGCATCCTAACTCAAACTACTACCGTCAAATGTGCATTTCTGAGACAAAAATGTAATATTAAAGGGTTAGTTCCCCCAAAAATGAAAATTCTGTCAGTAATTACTCTCCCTCATGTTGTTCCAACTCCGTAAGACTTTCGTTCATCTTCGGAACACAAATTAAGATATTTTTGATTAAATCTGAGAGCTGGATCACTCCTCCATAGGCTTCTTAAGGGATCGAAACTGGCCGGCCCAAAAGTTATGAAAGACATCGTTAAAATAGTCCGAGTGACTACAGTGGCTCAACCATAAGTTTTTCAAGCGGCGAGAATATTTTATGTGCGAAAGTGAATAAATGAATAGTTGAATAAAGTCGTTATTTTTGTTTGTTTTTTGCGCACAAAAAGTATTCGCGTCGCTTGATAAACTTAAGATTGAGCCGCTGTAGTCACTCGGACTATTTTAACAATGTCTTTCATAACTTCTGGGCCGGCCAGTTTCGATCCCTTAAGAAGCCTATGGAGGAGTGATCCAGCTCTCAGATTTAATCAAAAATACCTTAATTTGTGTTCCGAAGATGAACGAAAGTCTTACGGGGTTGGAACAACATGAGGGTGAGTAATTACTGACAGAATTTAAATTTTTGGGTGAACTATCCCTTTAATATTACAGCCTGCACTGCAAACTGTGCTGAAGATACGAAGTCAGGCAAAACGAACCTGTTTCATGATTTAAAACAATATCAACCATTAGAACATGCAAAAACATACAATTTTTCTGAATAAAGATATTTAGAAAGTTCTGACAATAAAGAGTAGTTTAAAACCAGTTAACGGTCAACTTTCACTTAGGAGCAAAGATCTGCCTTCAAACTTGAAAGAAATAAAGCTTTCACATTTATTGTGATAATTATCGATATGGACTGATATGACATTTTTTATTGTGATCGTTTTTTTGGCCATATCGCCCAGCCCTAGATGACACACACTGGCTTATGAAGTAAAAAACTCATCTTTGGTGCATCTCACACACCAAAAACCACCTCACCTCGCGGAACTAGTTTTGTTTATATTTCCACCAGCGTTGAGCATCTGTTCACGGTTTCTGACCAGAGTTCTGCCGTGTAACATGAGGCTTTCTCGCTGTAATCGGAAGCATGGGCACACAAACACACCGGTTTAATACTACACCAGCGGGGTCACTCTGACAGTGTACGAGCATGCCGAACCGTGTGTGTGCCCACCGCACACTCATTAGGGGAACTCTGCGACGGCATGTCAACAGATGGAGCTTATAAAAAGCAGGACTTGGAAAGTACGCCTAAAACAATCCAAATAAACAAGTGAAACTAACTTCAACAAGGAAGAGGACACAAATGTTCTCTTTAGATGCAGATTTAACGTGCTAATTGGCTTAAAACTTCGAATCTCTATGCCAAACCTACACGATTCAACCATCAGTCATATGGGCGCCACTTCACACTTTCGATGACTCACACTTTTAGAAATCTGCTAATTAGACACTCGTTCCCCAAGGACTTCGAGTCTTATGCGAGTCAACATCGCTTAGGCTCGATTCTGATGTCCACTGACTTAACAGCACAAGTGCTTAAATTTAGCATGCCTGCTGCAATTGGATAGTAACGTCTTGGCTGTCTATAGGGGCCGTTTGCTTAATACCTCACTGACAACAACACTGAGCGGCAGCTGCATTGACAGACTGCTAATTAACCTTATAAGACCATTCAGAGAAAGCAGAACATGTGGGTGGAAGCTCAGTTAGATCTGTGGCCGTAACCTCACTGTGAGCTTGAAGAACAATCGGAGCATGCTGGAGACGTGCTAGTTCACTATATTTCACCCAAACCTCCACAGACGTTTCACTAGACACAGCTCTGATGAACGCTTTATGTAAACCAGCAACTTTGTGGACCACAAATTAACTCAAGTTTGACGTTAACATGTTGGTAAACTATTGCCACGATAGTCTAAAGGTATAAAACGGCATAGCATTCACATGTATTGGGTAAAACACCCTATTTTAAATACAGTGTAGAACTGTACAATTTGGGGGAAATCTCTAATTGCACTTTTTCTGACAAAAATCGCAATCTTAAAAAAAGTTTCAGATTTGCTGTGCTTGTCTGTAGGGCCAAACATTTTGTGGATATATATCAATGTGACTATAAATTAAAAATACTGTGAAATACTGTAAAATAAAATTATTATTTACTGTTATTATTACTAAAATATTAAACAAAAGTCATATTATTATTGCAATATTTGACTGTAAAATAAAAAATGTGTATTTATGAAAAATAATATAGTATACTGTAAACTTACAATACTAAAAATCTTAATTTCTTTATTTTCAAATATTACAAGCTTTTATTTGTGCAGAAAACTGCAGGGAGACATTAAAGCTTCTCTTTTGCTGAAAACAACCAATTAATTATTACGGTTTTACTTTGATTAATCATACAGCCCTATTGCATTGAACTATGTTTATTGAAACGCACATTACTTTCGACTTGTTCGCCAGCTTTGTTTTGTTTTTTTAGCTTGGCCCAGTGCATTCTGGGCAACTATGCCATGGTTCAGACCACAGGTTACAACATTAGCCCTTCTAGAAACACTCCCAACATCTACATTAGCACATCGCAGTGGAGCGTATTGATTGTTGGCATCAGCGTTTTTCCACGGTGGTTTCGGCATCAGCACAATGCGTAAGGTGCTTCCTGCCTCGCCAGCACCCACAACCTGCCTGACATCCTCTCTCAGGGGATCGCGGGCCAGATTTAGTCAAATATATAGAGCCTGTGATACTGTTGTGCCCTTCCAAAAATAGACGTGAGGTACGAGACGTGAAGGACCATCTTTGTTCTGTAAAATTGCATGTGTGCATCATATCTGAATGATTCAAACATGCATGTTAGTTTCATTGCATTTGACCCAGAGAGTACAGCATGTTTCAAAAAGGAAACACCAAGCAAGCCAGCTGTGAGTCACATCTTTTTGTATGTTACGCACTTCACAGAAACAACAGAAGTGCGTGACGTGCTTAAAAGGAAAACCCAAAAATGAAAATTCTGCCATTTTTGTCGTTCCAAACCCACAGGCTGTTATTTTTTCCGTTGAACACAAAAGAAGATTCAACACAGCTCTTTTCCACACGATGGTTCATAGTGACCATGTCTGTCAAGCTTCAAATAAGCTCCAAAAAAAAAAGCACATTAAAAAATAATCAGAACGACTCAAAATAAGTCCTCTAATAAATCATTTCCTCTGAGGAACAGACTAGGGTCGAATATTGACACATATTTCACTATTCAATATGATACGATTTTGATTCACCAGCTTGCAATTCTATTTCATAATTTGGATATATATCAGATACAATACATGGCGTTGTAATAAACCATTCATAGAGTCCATACCAAGACAGAGTTTCAGCTGGTAAGTTAAGTTAGTTTTTATTAATAATAAAATTATAATACCAACTTTATAATTACATAATAATGTTTCTAAACAAATTTGTTTTTTTTAAATCTAATATAAATTGAAATTTAAATGTTGAAGAACAGGTTTTGTATAATGACAATGAATATGCAATATACACGCAAATATTTAGGAAAACGCTCGCCTCTAGAATAATTCTTCTGGCCAACTAATCGAGTTTATGGTCACTGAATGGCTTTTCTGAGATAAATGTAACATTACGTGACATATTGTTTACAAGCTGTTTCTTTGATCTATTGTGCCACTTTAAAAGTATTTATTTAGCATTTATCAATTGAAAACAGCATAGACTAAAAGAAATCTAAGAATCGATAACGGTTCATAAAAGTGAGAATCGACTAAAATTGAGAAATCGATATTTTTTACCCAGCCCTAGAGAAGACCAATTTAAGCTGTAGATCTCAAAATATGGCGCAGATTAGACGTCGTTGGTTCTTGTGTGTCTCACAGTCAAACGTTATTGACGTCAAGCCTTATACGAGTTGTCATACTTGATGTTGGATATTTTTGGTAGATAACAATTTAAAATGTTGCATATAACTTGCATGTAAATTATGCATCATATTTTGTGATTACATTACAATTTGGAATGTAGCACACAAGCTGTACAAACTACTTTTATGGAGTTTTTTAATCCATTTTGGAGCTTGTCAGACGTTGTCATTACGAACGTCATTGTGAAGCCGAGTAAATCATGGCAGAATTTTCTACTGCTTTAATGCAAGATAAAACCATGAGCAAACCTGAATCATGTAGAGTTGAGCGATGCGGTACTCCTCGACGCTCATGGGCATGGGGATGCGGTACTCTTTGATCAGCATGATGGGCGTGGAGCGGGGATGGCGCTGGAAACGCTCCGCTGGGTCAGGGGCAAATCCACCAGGACGGCCCTTAGCTCGAGTGCATCAGAGAGAAGGAGCAGAGCTCATTCTCAGACCTGGGGAGAAGACACAGGCAAATCAGACTTGAAAATCATCTAGGGATGTACAGGGGATTGCTTTTGAGATTACTTAAATGTTGCATAATATGGTTCTCCAGAGAAAATATAAAAACATAATCAATCTTCACCATAAACCATGAAACGGTTTAAAAACTCTTTTGTTCCCATTTCTATTGGACTTTTGCATGAGAAGGACAAAGGCCTATGATTGTCTCTGGTTTGGAATGATTACTTAACAGTATCTATTGCTCTATATTATAACTTTTATTCAGATTGATCCATTCTGTGATAGATTTAGAATTTTTTTTTAAATTGTATTTATTTTTTCTTTTTAATGTCTTATTCTTATTCTGGAAATGCAGCATACACTGTGCCCAAGACAAATTTCCCTAAGGGGACAATAATAAAGTATACAGTATACAGTAAACCGCATAAGTATAGCAAGATTTGCTTAAATGCTTAAAGGTGCTCTATGTAACTTTTCTACTAAAATTAATCCTTTTTTTATTGCCTGTGTGTGAAGGGGTTGTAATCACACATTAAAATGATCCACTTGTCGGGTTTTGCTATTACCTCTGAAGGCCAGTATTCCTATTTCTATGTGAAGTCTCCGGGTCGGATTTACCGCGAAATCCAACGGATGTGACGTGCATGCGCGCTCCCGAGCCTCTCTCCTTATATACAGTCTATTGTAGACGGTCAGGGAGTTACGTCCGGTTAAAGGCGCACGTTTTTCGGCTTATATCTCAGTCAATCTTTGATCAGTATTCCCAAGACTCTAATCGTTCGTAGTGCTGGACGGGGCCTTTCGAACGAGCCCACCCCCGAGGTCCAACTCGCCCGGCTCCCCGAGTTATAGCCGTTCGAAAACGGGGGTCCCAGCGAACGGCGATCCGGTAGGGGGCATCCCCGAGGCCCGCCACTCTAGCGTTCGGGCAAGGGTTCCCCTGGGACCTCCTCCCCCGAATTTGAGCTCTCTGGGTCTTTGCGTTCCAGAGATACGAGCGATTTTCTTCTGAGATCGTGACGTCACCGGCGTCCGCAATTTTGCAGCGCGCCCGATGGTTTTCTGCTAATATCTCCGCGAAAACACCACCAAAAACTATGGAACTTATATGGTTCTTTTCAGCTCGACTAGATGGTCCCAACGAGCTCGGTGCTCGCCGAATCCGTCTAGCATTCGCCGAGATATTCGCGTAATAGACGGTATTGTCTATGAGTTCGAGCACGAGCGCTCTTGTAAAATTTGGTTGCAATCTGAAACATCACCACTAGAGGCCGCTAAAAGTAACATAGAGCACCTTTAAAACAAAAAAGAAACTTGATTCAAGATATTTGTTTCTGAAAACAAGTCTTAATATCTTATGCAAGTTTGCTTTTTGAGTATATTTATGTTGTTTTTGAACTATGTTGAGATATATTTATATATCAATATATATATATATATATATTTACAGCAAAACAAGAAAAAAATATTAAATTAAAAAATATAGCGTTTTGTTCCATTTTGAAGAACCAGGGTTAACCAGAGTTAACCCTGAAGAACCAGTTAATTCTGTTTGTGCAATTTCTCTCTCTCTCTCTCTTATATTTACATGTATAAATATAAATTATATATATATATATATATATATATGTTATGTAATACATTATGTAGAAAAAGTGGTAAAGCATCATAAAAATTTGAATGCATATTAAAAACTGTATTTCTCTGTTTACAAAGTAGCATATTCCATATTACTTCATAATCACTCACAAAACCCAAAACCAACAGATGTTCTGTATAATCGCACAGGCATTATGTATTCAGACATAGTGGTCTGAAACACATGCAGCGCAACCAACTCGTCGTTAATAAATACAGTGTTACTGTACGGCAGAAGCGCTGCAATGGCATCCAACTGTCTGCGAATGACATCTATGCAAGCGATTTCCAGAAACAAAACACAAGGGGCCTCGTTTTGACCTTCGGCTGCCGTAAGAAACGTAAATCCACCTGCTGATGACACTGAGGTCCGGCAGACACCGTAACTCTCCTGCAGTTCCACAGGGTGTGTCACATGACACAGGCCGCTTAGTGTAAGACGGATTATCCACAGACAACTTACCCAACTCTTCCCTGAGAGGTAAAGCGGACAGCTGTGTGTGTGTGTGTGTGAGTAGAAAGGTGAGCTGGTGTAAACACAAACACCATAAGACTCATAAACAATCAGCAACCATCGACTAAGCAACCATCTCAGGGCTCCCAAGAGGGGCCATGTTAGGTGCAACAGCTGTCAGAGCTAAAAATGGCATTCATGACGAAAAATATCGTGCTATTTGGTCTATAAATAGCTTGGCTCGGTTACGTCACGCACACATGCAGTAAAAAGGATTGCGCTGTAATTGCGCTGTCTTGCCCCTGGTGAAAAGGAAGCATTCAACACAATTACAATAGATTGGCTGGACCCTCGACGAGTCTCTAAATATAGTAACAATAATCAAAGGCTCACAAAAGGAAAGGTTAGAGACCAAACTACTGTTTATCACCACTGCCTCATTCCAGGATACCCTAAAGCTAAGGCATTATTATAGGAAATTAGAAGACATTTAAATAGTCATTGTTTACTCATCCTGATAATTGTTTTTAATTTAAAAGCATTCGAATTATTTAAATTTGAAATGCTACAAGTACACTACTGTTCAAAAATCTGGGCTTAGTACGATTTTTTTTTTTTTTCAAGAACTAAATGATTTTATTCAGCAAGTATGGATTAAATGAATGAAAATGACAGTAAAAGCATTTATAATATAATAATAAAAGCTGTTCTTTTGAGCCGTCAATTCATCAAAGAATCCTAAAGAAAAATAAAATGCATCACGGTTTCCACTAAAGTATGAAGCAGCACAAATAACTAATAAGTTGCATTTTTAGGTCACTGCATGCATGCATTCATTGAACGGAAAAGAGCAGCTGAGATATTCTCCAAAACTTCTCCTTTTGTGCTCAAAATAAAATAAAAAACAGGTGCTGGTTTGGAACGACACAAATGCAATCCCATGCAGGTTTGTAACGACACCGAATCTAAATTAAGGATATCAAATAAAATAGTTCAGTGTTTTAGAAAGGACATCCAAAGTAAAAACAAAGGCATAACAAAGAATTATGGCATTTATTCTCTTTTCGCATATAAATATCCGAATATCTGTGGTTTCGTCATTCTTCCACAGGACAGGCAATAAAAGGTCACAGCTGGAAGTGATTCTCGAGACTAAGAACAACGCTGTAATGGTCACCGCTGGTGAGTCACAGCTGCCAGCACTGGTGCATTTTGGTCCTGAACTAGGTCAGGGGCCCTGAGCATTGCAGCTACACTGGGCTTGTGGCTAGACCTGAAATATCAGCCTTAAATGATAACCATCGTGAAGGCCTAAGACTTTCTGCTGCATGCCAGAGACAGATGCCACAATACAACACTGACAAAGCCTGCTTTCTTAAACACGCATCTACCTATACTTCAAAGAAGTATCTTTACTCCCACTGAAACCAGTTAGTCTGGATACCACACCACTGCCGTCACCCGGATCCCCAATAGCGGCTTTTTAAAACAAGTCAAGCACTATGGGATTCATTTGTGTCAGATGTGTCGCGCAACACTGACATATGCGACTATGGAGAGGGATTTTCAGCGCATTATCTTCCTATTTCTCACCAGCTGGTTAAAATGATACCGTAATACATTCGAGTACGTGTTGTCATCGATCTGTAACAACAAAAAAGACATGCACTGCAGTTCGCATCAGATGCAATTTTCCATAATTATGTTTGGAGGGTTTCTAAAAATTCCTCCCGTTGGCAAGTGTCTACAGTGCCTATAAGAGGACAGTTCCCCACTGAGACCGCTTTCCCAGGACCGATGTGTCCAAACAAACGGACACCACAATTAAGCACATCGCGGAAGCTAAATGCAAAATACAGTAGTGTGCGAGCGACTAAAAAGGGGGCAGTAACATTTAATGGCATATTAATTATCATACAGCATTAGATGAGAAATGAAAAAGGTAATCGCTTGTTTGTGTCAAGTGTCCACATGGTAATATTGCATATGTCACATTTCAACAGGCTGTAGATCAAAAGGACTCCTAGTAGAGAACCTGTTTTTATCTAAATACTGTTTTTATCTAACAGTATTTGTAATGCACACACTTAAAAATGTTGACATCATTGAAATGTAAGATCCCCCCTTCCCCCCCGAACCTCCATCTTAATACGCCGAGGCGTGCATCAGTTAAGTTGCGAGGTGAGGTGAGGCTGTCAGGGTCTTAGGGAACACCAAAAATCACAGCAGAGACATCACAGATGATTTTGCATGTGCAAATACTGTGGGATTGATGAGCATTCCTTTAGAGACTCGGATCAAAAACAGGAAAACAAACATGCAGATTGAACTGAGCCCTCAGAACTCTCCATCCTCTCAAGAAACACCTGTTTATCAGTAGCGTCGAGAACCAGGCACTGAGATTCAACACGTCTGTCCAAGCATAGACGGTTTACCTGTTAGATGGCGCTTATCATGCTGTCTATCCAACTGATCCGATCAATGGACAGAAAGCAGCCGGTCCGAATCCCATTCCCAAACAGAAGCATTCTAGCATCCTGCCACCATTGTTGTGCTTTTTTATCCTCTGGTCTGAATGAAGATGTCATCAAACACTGCCAGTTAAAATCATCGGGGAAACGTGAAGGAAAAAAAAAATGTGTCTCTTTTTTATCTCTTTCTCACTTGCAAGCTTTTTCCTCTGCCGTTTCGCCTGTATCCACCTCTTGTGGGGCTATAAAGCTCTGTTTCCATGGAAATGCAAAAGGCTGTAATGGGATTGGCTGGAGTCGGTGTGATGAAAGCAGCTCAGGGACGGCCCACTAACTGCTGTGCTCATGAGAGGCTCCGCCCCCTCCTGTTTGCATTCGCTCTTCCAGACTGACTGATAGCTATTAGATTCAGTCAGTAGAGAGAGGAACATCTGCAGCTTAATATGAGCGCAGGTCCGTCAATAAGCATTACGCAGCATCAATGGAATAAAAGAGAATTAATGGGGGGAAAAAATTAACAGGGAGGAGCCATTGAAACTGACTTAATGACACCAACCTCATAAATTGACTCAAGCCTTTGAACACTTGAGCAATTCCTGCACTGATTTTGGAGGGAAACCTACCGGAATTCTGTGGAACAAATTTAAACATGTTGAGGCAAAATATTTAACACATCTATTGCATTCCCCGCACTGATTTCGGAGGGAAATCTACTGGAATGTTCCAAATAAATGTAAACATGGTGAGGTAAACATTTAAAACACTGCAGAGAGTACTACACTCTCATTAGTAGCTGAAAGCAGAATTAAATTAGCCAAAATATTTAATAAACAAACACACAAGGGAAAGGGGAATGCGTTGATGTTTACCAATGAGGGCTGATCCAATTTTGTGGAATTCGGCAGGCATTAATTCTGACCTGCTAGTAACATATTTCAATACTTCGAATCAATTATTATTTACACATGCACTGCAACATAGACTTTGGAATTTGCATCATACCAATTTACATACAAGCCATCCTAAATAGCAATGCATGCTTGCTTTTTGAGCTACTAATACTCACAGTAAGTGGACAGATGGGGTTTTTAATGGCAAATATCAAAATCTAGACAGAAGGGACAATTTTAGTGAATTTTAAGTTAATATCGTGCAAGTGTTCTTTCAAATTTAAACAATTTTATGTAAATCTAAATGTGCCATAATTGAATCATTTAGGCTATATCGGCCATCCTGCACTCTAAATATCAGCATGAGCCACTGAAAAACCTATTGGGTCGACCACTACCCACAATCCCTTGTCCTACAGAAGTGGAATTTGTGCCGGGTCTCTTTCCAAAAAAAAACGAACAAAAAAAAAGACGAGGAATTTGATCTGAAGCTGCCACTGCTGTACTGTCTTAGTCTTACAACACTTATGTACTTTCCAATCAAATGTAAGGTACATTCTTCTAGTGTGTGCAGTCAAAGAATGTGAATTGTGATGCAACCAAACAAAAAGAAAAAAAATGCAAAAAGTGACCTTTTTACATCATAATTTATCACTAGATCTTTAATTGCAAAAGATATCTGGACAGAAGCCATCTGTGTGCTCTCGAGAACATTGTGTTCTAATGTTTAACCCAACTACAGACATTAATGGCCACTTTGTTTTACTTTAAAGAGACAAAGTGACCTTCAACTTGCAAATATACAGTCTCTCAGCTTGAGCTCATGTCATTCGGTTATTCATCTTTCAAAACTTTTAAATGATTATTTGCATGTACCAAAATTTCCCTCAAACATCTGAAAGAACATGTTCTTGTTTAACCAATGCAAAGGTTGCACTGGAAAAACTTGCGTAATAAAATCTGGTCCCACAATTCACTTTAATGAAATCTATCAATGATGAATATTGGCTCACTAAAGCCACGCTGCGGTTCCCAGAAACACATCGACCTCTGAGATTAATTCACTTTAACAGTGCTAATGTGAGGTCGGCCCGTAGATTAGATATGCGTGACATTTCATATGGCGCTGCCTTAAGCTGTGCAGGGAAGCTAAGAGCTCTTTATTGATTTCTTTAAGGTTGGCGTCCACCACGATTGGGCATCTCGAAGCCGTGTACAATTACGACAACGCATCAAGTTAGAAAGTCAGCGCAGCAGCTCCAGACATCTGATTACATATGGAATGCCTACAGGGGGGAAACTGAAAACTATTATGATAACAAGATGATGACAAAGCTAATTTCATCTGGCCTTAAATTATTAAACACTAATTATTTGGTAACTCTTGAAATAATGGTTACTTAATGATATAATGATAGCCACATTACAATGTTTTAACGGATTCATATTTTACTTTAAAATGATCATATTAAATATTTTCTTTAATATTTACACTACCGTTCAAAAGTTTGAGGTCAGTAAGATGTTGCAATTTTTTTATTTCGAATTTTGAAGTTTCTATTCAAGGAATCCTGATAAAAATTGGTGATAATCAGAAATGTTTCTCGAGCTGCAAATCAGCATATTAGAATGATTTCTGAAGGATCATGTGACAATGAAGACTGGAGTAATGATGCGGAAAGGTCTTTAAAATTGTAATAATTTTTCACAATATTACCATTTTTACTGTATTTCTGATAAATCCTTGGTGAGCATAAGAGACTTCTTTCAAAAGCGAAAAAAAAAAAAAAAATTACTTATGAACGATAGTGTAACTAAGTGTCAAATTTTAATTAGTAACATGAATCAAGAAATGTCACTTTTACCTCACTTAAAACCTTAAAGGGATACTCCACTTTTTTTGGAAATAGGCTCATTTTACAACTCCCCCAGAGTTAAACTGTTGAGTTTTACCGTTTTTGAATCCATTCAGCCGATCTCCGGTTCTGGCGGTACCACTTTTAGCATAGCTTAGCATACATCATTGGAGTGGACAAGACCATTAGCATTTCGCAAAAAAAAATGACCAAAGAGTTTCGATATTTTTCCTATTTAAAACTTGACTCTTCTGTAGTTACATCGTGCACTAAGACCGACGGAAAATATAAAGTTGCGATTTTCTAGGCTGAAATGGCTAGGAACTATACTCTCATTCCTGCGTAATAATCAAGAAACTTCACTGCCGTACCATGAGAGCAGCAGGCGTAATGATATGACGCAGTGCCTGAAAATAGGCCACCTTCCGTCAACACAACGGAACTATTTTCAGGCGCTGCGTCATATCATTACGCCTGCTGCACTCATAAGAAAAATCCCTCTTGCTCTTCCCTTTAAAAGAAGTAGTATCCATGTCTCACTATGTGATGTTCAAAAACAGAAATCATGTTGGGGACTTTGTCATTTGTCACATGTTTGACATTTCACATTCTTCTAGCCGACCTGACGAAGGAGCACCAACGCCACTCATCCGTTATCCCGCCATCAGCAGGTTTCTGTTAACAGACCCGTCTATCTAGCAACAGCAATTTGTTAAATTTAATTGATCTGAAGTCCTCTGGCGTCTCAACGCTGCCGACATTACGCAGACACAGGAGTCTGACACTTGCTGGCTCTGAAAGCACATGACCCACGTCACTGGTCCAGCGCAACTGCTGAACACGGCAAAATAAAACAGGATTTTTAATGCAACGGTAAATCCATGAGCACACAACGGTGACAAAGGACTTGCTTTGGACACATTGTGTAACAGGACAGAGAACAAGGGAGTGTTTTGAATATTACAACTGTTGGCTATTGTGATAAATAGTCTTGTACATCTCGAAAGCGAAGTTTCAAAAGAGGTTATTTGATATGGGCATCACTGCCATAAGAATTAACACCATTATCTCATTTGTAGGTGTCAAAGTTTAGATCGAATTCTTTAAAATTAAACAATTAGCACACAGTATCTGCTAATATTATTTACAAACCTCTAACCTTCAGTAACTTCATCATGTGTCTTGTTGAGAAGACATGTGCTTGCTAAGTGATCAGAAATCTACCTGGTGGATGACAAAACAAGGTAAAAAAATAATAATAATAATAATATATATCTTATAAATGGAAGTCTAAAGAACAAAAACTGGAGGGAAACCACTAGGGATGAGCACGAGTACTCGAGGACTTGGACGTGACCGTGACGATTGATCATGAAAATGAAATAAAGTGATTTGAAAGCATGCAGTGATGCCTGGAATCACTTTAATCATGGAAATACGTGCAAGATGTGCAGCTGCCATATAGCCTATATAACATTATAATGAGAACACTATTCAGTTTCAGCCCAAATGCAAAGCCCATCATTACTGACTATGATTGGGTTATTTGAGACTTGCTTTTAGATTTTTTTCTTTTCCAAAAACATTGATGATGATATTATTAATAATCCAATAGTGAATTTTTTCATTTTCACAAATGTTACGTTTTTGTTGTGTATCTATCTAGGATATCGGATTAATCACATATTATAGGATGTGTCATCCAGAACAGGCTTTCTTTTTCAAAAACATTGATGCATTATTTGATAATGTTATTTTGCTAGTCATATTTTTATTTGTCAACATTCATTTTCGTAACAGTGTATGACGGACACGTCCCGCCACTAGTACTCGTTTTTGAGACCTATCAATGCTCGAAATGAAAAGTTTACAAAATTGCCTATCCCTAGAAACCACCCAAGCAACCACATAGCAACACCCTGGCAACCAGCCACATGTAGTATCATGCCACCTGAAATCAAAAAGCATCACTAACCTTTTCTTCAGAAACGTAGTTTATACATATTGTGTAATGTCCTAGAATCCAAATAACAAGTTACACAAAAAAAAAAAAAAAGAGTATGATTTCGTATGTAAAGTGCAATACTTTAGCAGGGATACTGTGCATCGCTGCCAAAACAGAATAATCCATTCTAAAGTGTTTCCTTGTTCCTAATTGCACACAAGGGCGACGTGCTTTGCTTCCAACGTAGCTTTTGTGAAAACACCATAAAATTCTTATCAGAACATCCGAAGTCTCTTCTGCTTCAGATAAATTAGAGGCAAATAAGTCGGAGGCAACGCGCCGCTACACAAGACGCATGAATAAATGGAGGAAGAGGGAAGCGCAAACAAACCCTTGACGTGAGGGGCGGATGATGAGAAAAGGCAGTTTATTTATAGAGCGGGCCAGCTGATAGTGGCTCGCCTCCGTGCTCACTCGTTTCTTTAAATTATTGTAATAAATCACTCACCTCACGGGGATTTGAGCTCAGATAATCGTCAGGCACTCATCTCACGCGGAGCTTCTACTCTGAGCTATTAAAAAGCCTTTTTAGGGTCCGGTTGCAGGAAGAATAAAACCTATTGAGAAAACGGCTTCCGTCGGGAGTCTGAGATGGTACGTCGCTGGTGTTGGCGGAGCACATTAGGGGGCTCGGGGTATAATGCATGAGTTTCATAAGGTGGATAGCTGATGTGACTGCTGATATGCTGTTGGGTAATGGGGAGGAACAAATAACGTGGCTAGGAGGGAAAATGCAAAAACACTGTGACATACAAATGCAGCCAAACACATATGAACTAAAGAAAATCTCCCAAACTCAAGTCAACCAATGATAGCCGGGATTAATATATGCAAACATGACACCTGTACGCTGAGAACATATCAATTTAAACCTACGCTAATGCTAAGCACAAAATTGAATGGCAATCTTTCCTCAGCCCTTCTGCATTGCTTTGCGTTGCAAATACCTGCTGTGATAACCAATGCAAATCTAAAAACCTCACAATAAAATGCAAATCGCTTAGCAAGTGAGCTACAAGGCTGTTTCGACAGAATGATGAACGCAAGCGGGTCGCTGTGTGAGGTGGAGGGAAAATTCCATTGGCCCTGGTACCCTATCAGACACGAGCTCGGAGAGGAACTTAGCCGAAACGCCGAAGCCAAAAACCTCACCACAGACACTAGCAGTAATGTAGCTAATCGAAGTCAGAACCACCAGCTATAGCGTTTCTGGCTTCAATTAGCTGGTAATGATGAAAACCATAAATGGTAACACTGCAGTTTTGATGCAACGTGCCAGTTTCGACATTAAGCTGCGTGTAAATATTCAAAAGGCAGAGCAAATATGAAAAATCAGTTTGTAGAACAGAAGGACTTGGGCTGGCATTGATTTTTATGTGAAATTAGCATAACTTGAGGCTTGAGAAATCGATCACACTGTTGAATACTGCATCAGGTGTTTGATATTGAGTATCATTTTACAGCCAGGAGATTAAACACAAAGCTCACACGAAAACAAAATAGACTCATCTACAAACTCCTGCACATACAATAGTTTAAAACAACTATTGAAAAATTGTGATTGTGGATCAGAATTTGATGACAGATTTTGTGTAAGAGAGACAGAAAAATGCCATCTGAGGACTTATTTTCTAGGGATGCACGATGATATCGGGACAACATCGGTTTCGGCCGATAAAAGCTTAAAATGACCATCATCGGCATCGGCCGATATGAATATTTCTGCCGATGAGCCTTGCCGATAGGGTGGCGTGTTTCCTATGCGCACGTGACGACCGTGAACGAAGCACGAGCGCCAGCAACTTAAACTTCCAACTAGGGGTGTACGTCTCACGCGGATTTTGATCGTGGACGATTAAAATGTCTCTTCACGATCTGCTTTTGAAGAAAAATCATAGTATCGTGCATTCTATCAGTTCAATTCTGGCGCCTTCATCTCAACATACTGTACAACGCGACGTACATTCACATCACATCACATGTAAACGCAGAGGTAGAGCTACACTCACGGGACACTGCAATTCACAAAAGTTCATTATTTGCATGTGCGTCAAAGTCTTGCTAGTTAAACATGTCATTCACGTGCTGATGCGCTGTTCTAACATCAGCTTTTCTGAGCGCGTAACGTTAACGTTACACCCGACGCTCACAGGAACTAAAAGCCTGTCACAGCGCCTACATACTGGACTAAGTTATCTTTCGAGTCTCATTGCGCTAATACTGTCACACACAAGGTTTAGATAAACAAAAGCCCCTTTCACACAGCGCTTTGAACCCGGCAAATTGCCAGAGTGCCTTCTGTGTGAACGCAAACACGACCCGGGACTGATGCCGGGATCGATGCCGGGTTGGGGACCTAGTAACATTGCCGTGTTCAGACCCGGAACGCGCGCTGTGTGAACAAAAGCCGTAACCAATGCAGTGTCGTAATGATGACGCTGAAGTGAAAGCAGGCTAGTGAAATGGTACGTAATGCGCTAACGTTAGTTTATGATCGAATCAGAGAAAAAAATCCACATGCGTGGTTTCTCCAGAGAGAAATCGCAGCTCATAAAGCCTAGTTCACACTACATGATTTTAAAACGTCGGGCTGAACTGTCCGGTTCACACTACATGACTTGCTCTCTGTGAAATCAGGAGTGTTCAAGTTGTTGAGCTGTTCACACCACACGACACAACGTGATTGATCCGCAACAGGAGGTGACGCACTACACGAGTTGACAACAACTCTGTCACCCAACGATTCTATCTTGTCTACAAACCATGTTTTGTCACAAAAAATCACGCGATAAAACGAACCGGAAATGACGCGAAACATCACGCGCGCTAATACCCAGCGAAGAAGACGAAGACCCATGCCTTGCTCTGATTGGAGCAACCCATGCCTTGCTCTGATTGGCTGTAGCTCATGACATCACTGAGGTTGAGTCGGGCGACAGCTCTGGATATCTAGCATGCTAGATATTTTTCTGGGCTCGGCGACGCGTCTGCGAGGCGTCAGTGAGCGTCTTTGATGCGTTGTTGGCTCTTTCATACTAACAGATTGGTGAGCGTCCATCGTCCGCTAATCCCCCACAATTTGCACGCGATAACACCCTGACCTGTCGGCAAACTCAACGATTTGCAAATCGGGCTTAAATCGGGCTTATAATCCTGTAGTGTGAACTAGGCTTAAGCAAACTATACACGTTGCTGAGACTATACACATGTCACATCGATGTCACGTGTCTTTCCGGAACATACACGGGTTGTGTGTGAACGCGCTCTCTGATTCCGGCAAATCACTGGCAGTGTGAATGAAGCAAAATCAAACGAACCCGGGTCAAATCCCAGGTCGCTTTATCCGTGTATTTTCCGGAATCTCTGTGTGAAAGGGGCTAAAGTTGGTTATGTCTAAAGTGAAAGCAAACAGAGAAAATCTGCTTGTCAAATGAGTGTATATTAGACGCGTCGCGTGCAGTTCTTAAAGAGACAGTAATAATATGCTGCCGCTTGTCCTTAAAGAGATACTGCACCCAGAAATAAAAATTCTGTCATTATTTACTCACTCTAATGTTGTTCCAAACCTGTGTTCATTTCTTTCTTGTGCTTAAATATACTATGGAAGTCACTGGAGTACAGCAACTGTTTGGTTAGCCACATTCTTCCAAATAACTTTTATTTTCAACAGAAGAAAGAAACATGAGTAAATGATGACAATTAAAAATTTTGGGAGAACTATCCCTTTAATGTTAATAAAACAACAAAACACAGAGGAAATCACTTGCTGCTCTTGACTAAGAACTTTAATAAGCTTTTTTTGCACTTAAAAAAAAATACAAATATATCGGTATCGGCATCGGGCAAAATTAGTTTGAAAATATCGGCATATCGAATATCGGCCAAAAATCCAATATCGTGCATCCCTACTATTTTCAGCTTTTTGGCGATATTGAATATGTATGTCAATATTTATATTTATGTTTAATCGAATCAGAGTTCTGAATAGGGCCGCACGATATATCGTTTTAACGATGTGCGCATCTGCGATAGTCACATCGCAGCGGATCGTAGTTGATCAGTGATCCGTACGGACCAGACCAAAACACACATGATTTGCACGCGTTTTAGGTCCTGTCAGTTTAAACATTCAAGTGATTTTAAACCATTTAAGAAGACGTGAAAGAGAAGAGTCGCGCAAGTAGCACGGACATTGAGTTCTGTTCTCTTTCTTGTCTATTTGTGCTTGAACGGACACATACATGCAAAATTATGTCAAAAATGCCCGTCTCAATGAACACAATACACAGCATCCTCATAAACACAGTCACTTATGGTCTACATGAACGTAAATAACTGAGAAAGAACGAATGCGTATCATTGTATTAGATCCATGCATTAGTTCTTAAAGTGACAGCAGCCTAAAATACCTGCTGTTGTATGTGTCATTAAAGGGATAGTTCACTTTGAAATTAATTTTTGGTATGTTTTAGCTTACCTCAAGGGCATCCAAGATGTAGGTGTCTTTGTTTCCGCAGTAGTTTCAATTTTGATATTTTTAGGTCAAACCGTTCTTGTCTGTCAGTCATATAATGCAGGTCTATGGTCACCACCTCAAAGAGCACGCACAGAGAAGTCCAAATTAAACATGATTTAATGACTCGTAAATGTAAGTACACATTGATGGCCTAAGACACGAAACGAGCGCTTTGTGTGAGAAAACGAACAGTATTTATATCGTTTTTACCTCTTGTAACGCACAGACCGAAGCGCCGGCGCCCTCAGATCACTTGGACGTGGCTGTGGTTACAAGAGGTAAAAACGATATAAATACTGTTCGTTTTCTCACACAAACGGCTCGTTTCGTGTCTTAGGCCATCAATGTGTACTTACATTTACGAGTCATTAAATCATGTTTAATTTGGACTTCTCTGTGCATGCTCTTTGAGGTGGTGACCATAGACCTGCATTATATGACTGACAGACAAGAACGGTTTGACCTAAAAATATCAAAATTGAAACTTCCGCGGAAACAAAGACACCTACATCTTGGATGCCCTTGAGGTAAGCTAAAACATATCAAAAATTTATTTCAAAGTGAACTATCCCTTTAATGTTAATCAAACAACAAAATACAAAAAGAAAATCACTTTGCATAGTCTTCACTGTATACATGTAATATAATTAATCTTTGTTAAAGCTGCAGTGTTTAAATTTGATTATTCAATTTCTGTACCTGAATACTGTTAGACTTACCTGAAAAACATAGGCTAAACCACTGTTTATTTAATTTGTATCTTTGTTCTACTGAATTTATATGCTTGTAATTTGTTTACTATTTTCAATGCAGATTCACTCCCCTACAAAATTGCCCCAATCATTTTAGAATTATTCATTATTTTCAAACAAAGCTGTTTATCTGGTGAAACTGTTTCCATATCGAAATATATATTGTAGAAAAACAAAATATCACAATGTCATTTTTTTACAA